ACTGCGCTGTAAGCCCGCGGGTCCCTCCCAGGCCGTCTCGGCTGGGCAGCACGGGAGGCAAGGCACAGAGGAAAGAGGGTTAGGGTGGGGGGCAGATAGGGAACCCGAGTGCGCCCCAAGCACGGCAAGGGATGGAAGCTGCCCCGGGAGGCCTGCCGATGGGTGGACCAGTTCAGAGATACTGTGGGTCGGAGTGGAAAAGGAAAATCAGCCAGGGCCCTTCACCCCTTCCCTGAGTGCGTGGGAAATCCTTGCTAAGAGAGGAGACCGGTAATGCTCCATCACCAGGCAGAGCGCGGGTGAGGCATGTGAAATTCCTGCAGGAGATTAAACCAGCACACGCTCTCTTTTTTAAAAATCACATTTTATCCTTCAGGACTGTCGTTGAGGGTTGGGGGGTTAGTGGGAGGGAGAATAGGAAATCCCACATGCTACCCCCAGAAAAGCCAGGGAATTTTAAATGACAGTTTCCTCCTGCTGTCTGCAGAGCAGATAGAGGACACATGACAGCTCTGCATCTGGAACATCCATTTAGGATGCTGTTATAGTAGTGACTCCCTATTTCTTCCCTCCCTTGCCAGATTTGGCACTGCCGTATTCCATCAAGTAGCATGTCAGGATATTTCACCTGCTTTGTCCCTAGTGCTCTCCTAGACTTAATGACTCACTCCTGACGAGTTTGGCTGCATCTGTGCAGTTTGCTGCAGTCTCAGCAGCTTCCCAGCATCAGGACTCAGCTGAGATAAGAGCAGTGTCACAGTGCGCCCCACACTGATGACATGGGGCTCTGAATCTGCACACTCACCTTCCCTTATTCCTGCAGCACCTGGCCCTAGAACTCCGGGTGGCAGAGAGCTGTTGGGAGTCAGAGTGCAGAATTAGCACGTGAAGTTAAAGCACACACTTCTGACTTAATTGCTTGGGTTATAAGGCCATAGAAAAAGGAATATTAGAGAATATCAACTGAGTTATTTTCAGTTATCCTCAGACCTATACTTATACAGACTCATGACAATGAAGATTAAGTGCCAGCCGCTTGAGAGAAAGCCTTTCAGATATAAAACGAACCACTGCAAACGTGGTTGGCAAGACACTCACCACTGATATTTAGATACTTCTCTGCAGCATTTGTTATCAGTGATGTTCTTAAAGGCAGAACACACACCCAGATGCCTCCCTCTGCAGAGGAAGTCATTACTAAGCTGATTTTTGCAGCAGCAGAGGTTTCTGGAAGGACTAATTCCAGTCTGGGAAACTGACAAACTGTCCACAATCGCAGATGTCAGCTCCTTGCATTTTGTGGATGGATTTTACTAAGGGCTTCAGTTAGAACATAAAATACTAATCTGCTCACGTGCTTCAGGGTATTAACTTAATAGGGGTCAGGAGACCTTGAGGTTAGGAAGCAATCTATGCCCCCAAAACCATGCTTTAAGATAACATGCTTATTTTCCCTTTTTTCTAATGCATCAGTGTTTGACATCACCGAGGGTGGGGAACCCCATGTCTGAAGGGCCACTGTGTCACCACTCCTTTCCCCCTTCTTTCTCAGAAAGCTCCATCCAGCCTGGCCCAAGGATGGAGTCCCTCCCTGAAGCAGTCCTGATCAGAATCCTGGCTTCCATACCTGCGGTGGATTTGGTGCTGGCGTGCCGCCTGGTCTGCTGCCAGTGGAAGAACCTGGTCGATGGAGCTGCGC